ATAGACGCGCAACGTGTCTCCGGCTCATGGGCCACCAAACAGACGCACATGCGGCCTGGTCGAACTCGTACAACCTCTACTCGCGTGAGCACATCCAGCGCCGCTCCTGAGAGCACGAGCGAGTCCCCGATCGCCGGTGAGCTTGCCTTCCGCCGCGCGGCGCCGCCAGGCCAGATGGCTATGGCATATCCCTTCTGAGTTGTGAATGTGCGCGGGCATGGACAGTTATGATTGCCGTCTTCTGTTCCCAGTTCTATTCAGAGTTGTCCGATCGCCCGCGCAATGCCGACTCGATTCGGATGCTCTGTCGCAGTTTGGCTCCACCGCTGGCGCGTGCAACCAGTGCATGGATGAGTGGAGCTCCCGCAGTCTACATGTTATGGCCGCTGTGTTGTCTTTTGTCAAATTTCCAGACCCCGCAATATTAGTTTTTCTTCATTTTCGTCGTCGTCGTCGAGAGGATGGTGGAACGGGGACTTCAGCGTCGGCGCCGCCGAGAAAGGAGGGGGCAATTGCAGTTGCGAGAGTATCTCGGGATGCAAAAAGCCAGGACAGAGTGCCATGCCGCGGCTGTCGCGGACGAGCGCCTTCACTGCACCTCCGACGGCGTCTGCATCGAATTCTGAGAGAACAGCCCTCGGGGGGCCCACTCCAGGGCAGTTGGGCTTCGCAGGAGTGCCCAACCGCGGACAGGCGAAGAGGAAGAGACATCTTTCAGATGATGGAAGGATAGCGGAGTCAATCAGCATGGACTTTTGAGCGCCCCGCAAAACTGAGATGTCTTGCCCCAGATGGTAGGTACACGCGCATCTCCGAGCAGAACGGGAGGCGGCGTTGCAGAGAAACGCTTCGGGCAGAGGCCTCCCTGGCAGCAACCAGCCCTCCGTCCCTGTCAGTGGCCGACATCCATTATCATGGCGACACGATGTTTATCTGCATCCCCCTACTCCATTGCAGATGCGGGGAGACAGTGGGCGGGGTATTTGGCATGCTGAACAGCATGCGCACAATGTAGAGATGGGTCGCGGACAGCGAGGGCAAAATGGGACCAGAACGCAAGGTGCCGCGCGATGCCTGGGGCAAATGGGAAATGCGCTTCAACCTCCATCGATCACCTTCGGCCCCCACAGACAATCTGGCTCAGCGACGGCCCAGGTGCGCAGCGATGCGCACTAGCGGGGTAATCTCGGAGCGCGGGGCGCTGGAAGCTGCCCGCGGTGTTCGCGGGCGGCGGTCAGCTATGGCCACGCGGGCGCTGCAACAGGGGGCTCGGGCGCTGTGAGATGATCGAGGGCCGCGGGGGGCACGCCAGAAACGCGCCTGGACATGAAACATCACTAAGGAGGCAAAGGATGTCAATGGGAGAGGACGTGCATCGACTGCGAGCTGGAGCTGAGGCAGGAGGAGCATCAAGTGGAGCGATGAGGAAAACATACGACATGGAGGAGAGCACTAAATGACGAGAGAGCAAATCTGCCGAGAGCAGAAGAGGAACGCAAAAGTAGCCGCGTGGGCAGCCCAGTCCCCGGGGCAGATCCAGGCGGCGAAAGTGCCTATTGAGGCCGAGGAAGGACCAGAGGAAAAGTCTCGCAATCAGAGGAGCAAGATGGTCATGTATAGGCCCAAGGAGATGTCGAAGGCACTGCTGGAGGGCATCAGCATGAAGGGGGGGGGGGGGGGGGGGGGGGGGGGTGGGGGGGGGCATCCTCGCAGCTCCAGCAAATTAGGAGAAGGCATGGCTGAAGCCTTGCGATGCGCCGGAAAATACGACGCCCTGCTGAACCAGTGCATGGCCATGGACGTCCAGGACGAAGAAGCGCTGAAGGTCGCCAAGAAGGAGTTGGAGGTGGAAGTGAAGGAGCTGCACGAGATGGGGCTACAAGACGGCGAAGAACATGGGAGAAACAGACAGCGTACCTCAATGCGCTGGACTTCGTGGACAAGTGGAGCGACAACATGGAGCTGTTTAGCGTCTGCAGGAGGAACACAGGATGGGGCGAAAATGCGGACATCGCCTGCTCGCGCGGACTTGCATTCCCTAACATGCTGTGGTGGCAAGGCCCCGGTCCCAACTCAAGGGGGGCCCAGTGGAAGTTCTGGCGCAAAGTGGGCTGGGCGCAGCTCGCGAAGGCGCAGAAGAATCATCCAGAAGACGAGTTCATGAAATAGTGGGTGGGCAAAAATGAAGGGCGACTTTGGCAGGGACAGCGAGAAGTGGTCAGACATCGGGTGCAAGTCTATGTTCCGCCCGTTCAGGAGGGGGCCTTCAATGGCGGCGGAGCTCAAGGTGGGAGAGTAGTGGGGAGCTCTTGCAGCGGAAGGGCTGCCGCAGAAGCTAGACGACGCCATCGTGGAGAGCCATTGCAAGTTCTACGACCAGAAGATTGGCCCAGAGGAGCCCCTCGAGCTGATCCCAATTCCTCCCCCCCCCCCCGATGACGCACGGGGCCGACGGGCGCGACCTCGTCGCAAGGTGCCCAGTGGGCGCGTGGGAAAGGGCTGGGATTAAGGCATTCACTGTGCAAAGCTGGTGTGAGTTGGCGCTGAAGGTATCGAATGACGAGGAGAACCTCTACGGCGTCATGAAGGTCTCCCTGAGGGAGTTGAGTAACGAGGGCAATGTTGACCCAGTGGAGGTGAAAGAGGCTCCAAAAACGTCAGGAGCTACGAGACAGCGCGAAGACCCGTCTGGATGGCACCGAGGTCTTCGAAGAGCACTCCAAGTCGGAGGGGGCGGCCAGCTCCGGCGGCCGCAATTTAGAGAACCCACTGGAGCCCACTGACAACGCCAAGAGGTGCATTAGCGAGGTTATCTCGGAGTGCGACAAGGCTGGCAGGACGGGCAGAATCAGCGGGACCATCACTCGCGGGGCCATTTCGGTGTGAGGACCCTTGTAGGGAGAGCTCGCGCAGACAGCGTCTTGGGAAGTGATTTTTTGGACGCCGACAGGTGCACTGCTGCAGGGGGGGAGGAGTGGACAAAAGGTGATAACCACGAAGGCTACCAGAGCGCATCCACGAGGGCCCCGCCGCCAACGCACCGCGACTACCAGTATGCTCCTCCCTACCTGCACCTCGAGGGGAACAGTGGGATATCACAGCAGGGTGCCAGGGTACAGTTGCGACAATGCATGGGGCAACTATTGCCCAGTTCGCTCTGGAGGAGAAGTGAGCCGAAAGAGAGAGAGGAGAGAATAGGGTAGCATAAAACCAGTATGTAGGATAATTCGGCCCCCTGATTCTCCTCCCCTTTTCCATTTGCGTGGTCGCGTCGTCGTCTCTTCCCCCCATAGCTTGGGGGCCCTATTCGCCCAGCGCGTCCCCATTCCAAAGGCACGCGGAAGGGCCAGCAGCTGCCCCCCCCGCACTGACCCGCAGGGACTCGTATTTACAAGGTAGCGAGCCTCTCTTACGGGGCCACTTCGGAGCTCACCCCTTGAAGGGGGCATGCCCCCTGCCGGCCCTAATGAGAAGTCAGGGCCGTTGCACAACCAAATCGCAAGGGATTTTGCCAGATTCGCGCAAGGCACCATTATGGTTGTGTTGACGTTGGCCCCCATTGTTCGGATGTCCTGTCCTCTCCTGTCCTCCTCCTTCTCCTCCTCCTCCTCTTCCTCCTCCTCCTCCTCCTCCTCCTCCTCCTCGTCCTATCTGCCCGAAGCGGTCCACTGCATTGGCGATGTGTTGCCCACGCCAAGATTCATAGCAGGAGTTTGCCTCTTGCAAGGCGGTTTGTGCGGTGTTCCCGGTTCGCCTAGCGACGTTTTGTCTCGAGATGGAGAGGGGCCATCACTAATGTTCATTGAAGGAAAAGTCCGTTCCATAGCGTTTGGGGGCGTTTTCGGGATGCTTTCGGAGCTATCAGAAACGTTTTGAGAAGGCCGCGGTGCCCGGGACACTTTCCAATGATATTTCCGCTTTGCCCTCGTCCGGATGTCCTCGTCCTGGTTTCGTCTTGCTTCCACGGGGCATCATCGAGGCGGCTTGGGGGCCCTGGCCCCCCCCTCTTTCCGGCCACCTGGGACCCCTGAGATCCAGGCGTAGCAGTTCGTGCCGGGCGTTTTCGCCCGGGCCCGGGCCAGTTGCCATCACATATCGGTCCAGCTCAAAGGTGCCGCTCGAAAGTGAGGCCCAGGGTTCCATTTTTCCCGTAGCGTCGGATTTCAGGGGCTGTCAAGAAGCGGCCCAGGATGATAGAGGGAGGGGTTGAGAGCAATGGTGGCCGCGCGGAAAACGGCGCCGGGGGTCTGGAAGGGCGATGGGGGGCGTGTGGTTTTCAAAATGTGGTTCTCGCTATTGCACCGTGCGCAGCTTCTTGACAAAACGATCAACAGTATACTCACGGAGTGCGGGTCGTTTTCAAAATGTGGTTTTCGCCTCGGCGCTGCGCACATTCGTCTCAAACATTGCAACAGCTTCAACAATGGAGGGCAGGTGGTTTTCAAAATGTTGCTCTCGCCCTAGCGCCGCAAGCATTCGTCTGAAATATTCGCAGCAGTTTGACATTTTCGTGCGGTCGAAGTCCCAGGAATGGTGTTCTGGCACGAGTTCGGACTGCCAGGATACAGCAGTCATGTTGATATGGTGCGTTGAAATCGCGGGACTGGTGCCCTGGCACGCTGTAGGATTGTCAGGACGCAGCAGTCATGATGCTCCACGGCGTTGAAGTCCAAGGGACTTTTTTGGGCACGGTTGGGCATTCCCAGACGCTCGTCTTCTAATGGGCCATTCCCCACGATGAACATGGGTTTATTTCGGAAGGGACATGCGAGGAAGGTTGATTGAAGCATCGCTGATTCGCCTGGGGTCTCCGCCAGCCCTCCCCTTCTTCCTTGGAGAGCGGAGTCGCCAAGGATGCTTGGGCCCCTCGCCTAAGCCCTGATGCTTGGGCGAGGGGCTCCGGATGCTTGGGCCCCTCGCCCAAGCATCCGGAGCATCAGCTTTCCGGCGCTCCTGATGCCTGGGCCCTTCGCCCCAAGGCCCCCTCCCGGGGCCGCCAGGCACCGGACGGCCTCTTCGGCTCCAAGGGCGACGCCTGCAGCGCCTGCAAGTTCCTGGCCACCGGGCGAGCGCCCTCAGACGAGCCCGCATCGGCGACCCTCAGACGAGCCCTCAGACGAACCTGCGGAGTGAAGAAAAAACGACGTCACGAGGCTGGGCTGGGACCGCCCAGAATAGAGCTGCCTCGTTGACCTCCGCCGGGTTACGATGGAGCCCTCAGTGTACCACGCTCGACATACTCTGCAGCCGTTTCGGTTCAAGAGCTAGTAGTCCCAGGAAGGTTCCCGCTAACTCGCCTTGGCGTTCGTTTCGCCCTCATGGACCCGCAGTTGGATGGTGTTGGCGCAGAGCGGCCCCTCGGTGCCATTGCAGCGCAACTCCGGCGCGTGCCAGAATATGTCCGGTACGATATGCGGGCTAAAGTCTTCGGACTGCTCTTTACTCATTCGGCGGCTCTGCTGGCCCTTACGAAACTCACCGTTTTCTTATTGTCCTTGTCTGAGCTAGTCGAAACTTCAGGAATGGGGGCAACAACCATTGCATCAGTACCTGAAGCCGCGGGGACCGAATCGTCAGGAACCGATGATCCCAACCAGTCGCATGTGTGGAGTCTTATCGGCTGGGCGATTCTGGGGGTCTTTCTGGTGATCGGCGCGGGAATATCCGTTGCTGAGATATTCAACATGTTCGAACTGGGGACGAAGAACCAGTATGGCATGTGCAACGTTTTTCTGGTGGCGGCCCTGCTGCAGTTGCAGCAGGAGTTCCAGCTTCGGACCCTGCTGCTGGAGCCCCTCTTCATTTTGAGTGCCACTCTGATCCTCACCACGGTCATCAACTTGGCTCTCTCAGCCAGGCTTCGGGCTTTGTCTCCGAACGTGATGGAGGACTCTGCGGTCCAGTGCCGATGGACTGCTAGAGGGATCGTCTTGGCCGGTGTCAAAGTCGCGGGTCCTGCTCCCTCGTCCCTTCCGTCCTTGCCGCTGCTGCTGGCATGGCTCGCGGCGGCGTGGCTGGGGCACGCGTGCGTGGGCGCACACTCGAACGCAGTGGTCACATCGTTCGCGGTGGTCTGGCTCTTCCTCATCGACGCCGACGGCCCCCTGCAGAACGGCGACCCAGACGATCATCTGCGCATCGTGGTACTCTTGCATTCGAAGATAGCGCTCTTGCTGTTGACCACGGCCCTCGAGCAGCTCTGCGTCGCCGTCATCGGCCACGGCAGGGCGTACTCGTTCTTGCGCGTCTTTCTTTTTCATCTGGTCCTCCAAGTGAATCCAGCGGTCAGGAAGTTTGTGCTGCATGTGTGGCCTGGCGCACCCCCCGCTGAGAGGCTCGAGGCGGAGAGGTTGAGGCTCGAGCTGGAGCGACTCAAACGACTGAAGCTCGAGGCGCAGCAGCTGATGCTCGAAGCGGAGAGCCTGAGCTGGGAGACCGACGCGGACCGCAAGGCGGAGATCCTGCGACGTCTGCAGCAGATCCTGCAGGAGATGTCGCCGGCGAGACACCGCGCCGCCAGGGAAGCAGAGGGACATGAGCCGCCAGTGTGAGAAGCTCGCGGCCATCGAAGAGCACGCACTTGCACAAACAATCAACAATACACTTACGGAGCTCTGCGCGGATGTCTTGGATCCGCGCTGGGCCTCCTCTCCCTGGCGCGCGGAGCCCCTCCCTGGCGCGCGAAGCGCGCCAGGGGCGCCCTGAAAGCGCCGCCAGGGGGACCCAGCGCCGATGCAAGAGATCCACACTGAGCTCCGACAGGTTATATTTATGCAGCCTGTTCTTCCTCTACGGTGGGGGCGTTGTTTGAGGAATGTGCCCCGAGACTCCAGACCCTGGAGGATTGAGTCCTCATCTGACGAGGGCGGTGGTGACATGGCCAAGCCTCAATTGGAGTGCCACCAGCTTCCAGACCCTGGATTCCTTATCCAACGTTTCCTCATCGAGTGCCCTTGCTGTAGAGAGCGCCACCACGGCAGCGGCTGGCTGCGGATGAGGGCGGGCGGCGTTGCTTCCGTTGCCGAGCGGCGACGGAGACAGTCTCGGCGGGCGGCGGCGGAGACAATGCAGCGGGCGCCTTCCCATAAGCCCGTTGAAGTTATTGAATCGCTTCGCTCATTCCGCCGGCCCACATTGCGCGCCGTTGTCGACTGACCGAGTGGTCTTTCGCGGTGGGGAGCTGCAGGGGCGGCGGCTGTTTTTATCAGGCTGTGCGTTCGGCATGTGAGGCTTCTTGGTGGCCGCTGGGAGAGTCTTGAACGCGTCGCGGGCCGCCGGGAAGCGTTTTGCCTATGGGGACTCTTTCGGGAGACCTCTTGGTGGCCTCTTGGGGACTCTTAAACGCGTCGGGTCGTTGGCACTCGCTTGCGTGCTCGGGGGGGCATTTGGGGGGCCTCCTAGGGCCGCTTGGGGGCCTCTTGGGAGCCCCCGGAGGGCCTGTTAGGGGCCTCTTAGTTTCTTAGGGGCCTTTTGGGGACTCCTGGGGACTTCATAGGGCCGAGGGCTCGAAATGTTGTTTCGTGTTCCCCCCCTGGGACCTCTCTTGGGGCGCTCTCGGGGCCTTCTTGGGCCGTCTTGGAGGTCTCTTGGGCCGTCTTGGAGCCCTCTTGGGCCGTCTTGGGGCGCTCTTAGGGGCCTCTTAGGCCCTCTTGGGGTGTCGGGAAGCCGAAAAGGTGGAAACACCAAAATCTGTCCAAAACCTAAGGAAAAGCAATGATTTGTGCCTCTTGGGGCCCTCTTGAGAGTGCTCTTGGAGGCCTCTTGGGCCGTCTGGGGGCCATCTTGGGCGTCTTGGAGCGATCTTGTGGCATCTCGGAGCTCTCTTGTATCATCTTGAGGGGCTCTTGGCGGCCTCTTGGCCCTTCTTGGGGCTCTCTGGACGGCCTCGAGGGCGGCGCCCAGAAGAAACACCATCTCTGACCCGAGTCGCCCGGGACCTGCCCGGGGTACTTTTCGTCCGGGGACCCCCAGGGGCCGCCCCGCGCGCGCGAAGTAGAACTATTGTAAAGCAGTTGCCGGAGATCTTGGCACGCCTCTGACCCTCGGGGCCTGCAGCGGGCGCTTTCCCAAGAAGTCCGTTGAAGCTATTTTGCGCTCCTTGCGATTATGAGCCGCTTTTGGAGGAGGAGCATAAGGCTCCGTCCCTCCATTGTCTGTCAGGTGTATCATACCCGTTCAGGGAGCAGTCGCGATGCTCGTCTGGGTGATAGGATCACACTCGCTGTACAGAGGGACATTCGGCTCCAAGCTTGTACTTGTTCGGACTTGAGCCCTTCCAACGCGGGAGGACGACGCTGCAATAAGAAAAGTGTGCACCACGATCGACGCTTCGAAGTGCTTCTGCGGATAAGCACACGCAGTCGCTAACACACTTTCTGGATCACCGACAGCTGGCTCCTGGCTCCTTGCTGCGGTGCCCAGGGCTGGTGCTCCAGCGATTTCGCATGCCATCTCTGGCCGTGAAAGGGGGCCAGTGACCCCATGCGGAGTTGACAGCCTGGGCCATGGCGAGGGGCCCTGCTCTCGACATTCGGCATTACCTGAGGAGAAGGTGAACTTTTAACGTCCTTCCTTCGTCTCGGACTCATCCTCCCTTGGCGCCGATCGGAACACTCGGCACAAATTGTAGTTGTTGGGTAGAAAGGCCTCACCACTGTAGCAACAACTTTCCCATTTCCGATTGCCTGCGGCAAGTCCCGCCACGGTGTTAGCCTAGTGTTCTCGGATGCAACTGTCCGAATGACGGCAGGAGGCTGTATGTTGTGAATCTTGCCAGCGGCGTTCAAGGTTGGAGTAACGGTCAGAGCGCCGTTAGATGTCACACTTCGGCCGTTTTGAGTTTGATTTCGGTCATCTGAGGTCGTCCTGGGGCGGAGTAGGAGGATGAAGGAATCGATGATGAGGAGGTGGTGATAAGGAGGAGGAGGAGGAGGACGAGGAGGAGGAGGAGGAGGAGGAGGAGGAGGAGGAGGAGGAGAGGAAGTATAAGGAGGAGGAGGAGGAGGAGGAGGAGGAGGAGGAGGAGGAGGAGGAAGAGCATCGTAGCAGACGAGTGCGATGTGGAGCATCATGATGGTGACGATGTCGAGGAGGATATCATTTTGGGCCGTCTCGGGGCCGTCTTGGGCTCCTGAGGGGCAGTCTTGGGTCCCTTCGGGCACTCTTGGGCCGTCTTGGGGCCCTCTTGTCCGTCTGGGATGTCTCTTGAGGCCGTGGTGGGCAGGGTATGCCGCCTTGGGCGCCTCTGCAGTCCCTCTTGGGCCAGCCAGGGGGCTTTCTTTGCGGCGTCCTGGGCCTCTGAGGGTGTTCTTCGACCGTTTAGGGGGCCGTCTTGGAGGAGCATTGGGCCACCTGGGGGCCCTCTTGGGCCGTTTCGGGGCCATCGCGGAGGCCGAGAGAGCCGTCTTGGAACTGAAGGACGCACAACAAGGTGAAGACGCCAAGATCATCCCAACACGCTGAGGATCTCTATCTCTGTCTGTCTCTCTCTCTCTCTCTCTTTCTCTAAGATTTATGTGTGGATATATATACACAACGTATGTTTGTGTGCATACATACACACACGTAAGCGTGGCACCTCCGAGCCCTCCTGGGGACCTTCTTGGGGCTCTCTTGGCGGCCATCTTGGCGGCCTTGGTTACCGGCCCCCGCCGTGCTGGAACCGTCGTTTTTTTATGCGGCACCGTGGTCTCTGGAGTGCGGGCCCATCGTTTCTGTTCCAGGGATCGTGGCCTCGGTCGGGAGCGCGCACTCATAGTTTTACTTGCCATGGAAAGGGGAAGGGGGGGGCGAAGATTCTCTACGGCCCTGGCCCCAGGAGCAGGAGGAGGAGGAGGATGAGGAGGAGCAGGAGGAGGAGGAAGAGGCAGAGGAGGAGGAGGAGGACAGGCATTTTGCCCTCCGCCCCGTGGATGACGGCTCGCCTCTCCCGTGGGACGTCCGCTGCCCTCTCCTTCAGCAGCTCGCACTAGCCGCTCACCGTCCAGCACGCACTTCAAGCTGACGCTGCCCGACGCCGCCTGCTCGTTCCTCGTGGCGAAGGCTGCCTATGCCGGAGGCCTTCCGCGATCTGGGGGAACGAACAATGGCGTAAACAGAACAACTCATAGGTCCGCGCGGATCTCTCGGATCCGCGCTGGCGCCCCCTGGCGGCGCCGCCGGCGCCGCCCCTGGCGCGCTCCGCGCGCGGGGGGGTCCAGCGCGGATCCAAGAACTCCGCGCGGACCTCCGAGTTGTTATGCTTCTATGTCATCCTTCCTTCCCCTGGCACTCCTCGTGGCGAAGATTGCCTGGGCCTGGGGCCTCCCCCCGACGATCCCCCTCCGCGGCCGTCCTCGTCTTCCCCGCCCGTCCCTCCCAGCGCGCCGAAGCCCGTCGCGGCCCGCCGGCTGCTCGACCGCGCCGGCGCTCGCCTTCGCCGCTGCCAGAGGAGTCGGTGCCGGATTCCAGGAATCCAGCAAGACAGCATCGCTTCACTAATCCTCAAGCAGTGGCGAAGCGTCCTGGCTCGCCTACAGGCCTACCGAACAGGAACCTCTTTGTGGTTTCCACGAAATGTTCTTAGAACATTTCTGGCCGGGACTGGCTTGTTTAACACATCGGGCTTTTGCTCTAAGAACCTTGTTTTGTTCTTAGAACATTTCTGGGTTCTAAGAACATGTCGTGGTAGGCCTATAGAAATGCCGGGAAGGTCGGCCCCTGCTCAAAATCCCTAACCCCATCTCCATCCACATCCCTCGAGCCCCACCGTCTCACCACCTTAGTTGGAGATGTGCCCCTCGAACCCGAAGAGAGCAGCCCATATCCCCATCAGGGGGGTACATCGGCCAGTGGGGCCCAGTCAACGCTGGTGGGGATGGGGATCGGTTAAACGATGCTCAGCAATGGCCCACCGGTCGTTGAAAGTAGGTATTTTTTGAGTCCCAGATTCCACTTTACTTTAAGCGCCGTCCTACTTCAATGATCGAGTGGCTTCACCTTTTGGCGGGGTCAATCAGGCGATCGCAATCATAGATCAAGGGGGCGTGGATTAGCGACGGGTCCTGTTTCCATGGGAAATTGCGGATTTCCGCCACCGAACGAGGCGGCACCGGCCGTATTTTGGGGAGGGCTCCTCCCCCGATCCATGGATTTGGCGACCGCGCGCCAAATCCATGGATCGCCAATATCGATGTTTGCGCGCCCCCGAGTCAATGAGTCCAGCAAGCACCCTTCTGTCAGCAGCGAGTGGTTGCCAACTCGGTCAAACAGCCGGCGGGCCGCGCTGGGCCATGGGCACACTGAGACAGGTGGAGAAGAGGAGGGCGGCCGCAGGAGAGGAAACAGGGAGATGGCCTCAGATGTCGAGAGCCAATGTCTTGAAGAACGCACGGGCGGCTTCTTCAGGCACCAGGGACCAGTGCACTCACAGGTTCTGCGGATCAGTGCGAGCTGCCACTCGGGGGGGCAGTGCAAGTGGCCATCGAGAGGCACGGCCGTCATCTGATGGGCGGCGGGCAGAGTGCCGTCGGGGAACCAGGACCTTCGGAGGTCGTTTTCAGAAGAACTGGCGATCCAGCGGTTGCCAGGCCAGCAAGCATCACAGACAGAGGAGTCCAGAGCCCCGACATCAGGATTGTTCATAACGTCCACCCCAAAGGTCTCGACCCTCTCTCCAGGACCAGTTTTTCATGCTGAGTCGTTTTTTGACGGTCCTGAGGCCTGGCGAGGACCCCCAGAGACCGAAAGCTAAGAATAATCTTCCGTCATGGTTTCTTTTTCTTTTTTTTCATGACCCGAGGTGAGGAGGGGCACCGCGGCGAGGCGAGGCGAGGAGGAGGGGGAGGATGGGGAGGATGAGGGGGATAATGATCAATCGGAGGAGGAGGATGAAGAGGAGGAGGAGGAGGAGGAGGAGGAGGAGGAGGAGGAGGAGGAGGAGGAGGAGGAGGAG